ACTCTCCCGCCGCCGCCACCATGACGGACCGTTCCGCCTTCGACACCGATGTCATCACCATGACCCGCTTCGTGATGGAGGAAGGCAGGAGGGCCAAGGGCACGGGGGAGTTCACGCAGCTCCTCAACTCCCTCTGCACGGCCATCAAAGCCATCTCCACCGCCGTCCGCAAAGCGGGGATCGCCAACCTGTGAGTCCCGGGGTGCCTCCCTGCATCCCCGCGGGTCCTAGGGGATCCTGCCGGGGCGGTGGGGATGGGGGGCACCCGAGCGGCGTGTGCGTGGTGTTGCATCCACCCACCCCCTTGCACAGAGCTGTAACTCCTGCTGCATCCTGAACTCTCGATTTCCTCAACTGAAGTGGCTCCCGTGGTTTTTTTAAACAGGGTAAGGGATGCAGTCTTTGACAGGTGTTTGCTGCTGACAGACGTCTGCTGCTGACAGACCTTCGTGCAGACCCTCGGCGGGTTTGGGTGCTTCGAACCAGAAGACCAAACGAACAGGCTGAAAGACAGCCCTGTCAAAATATGGCTGAATTATTGCTCATTGTGGCCGGTAGCTTAATATCAAAACAACATTCTGTGCTATGAGGCGTTTAATGGAATTCGGTGGGGTGTTTTTTCACATTGCGTCACAGCAGCTCGAGTTTCTCTTGGATGTCTAAGGCGTTTAGAAAGAGCACTGGCTAGGAACAGTTGTTGTCTGTAGTCAACCAGTTAGAGGGGATTTGCTCTGGAGATGCGTCAGAAGGAAGTTAAGAGGGCTTGAAATGTTAAATAGCTGAAACTGGTTGTAGGTAACTAACGCCCCTAAACACTTTGCGTATTGTTGACAAGCTGCATTGTGTGCTGACCAGGGCTTTAGACATGGGCTGCTTCATTACTTTATGGAAAGCATAGTAGAAAGAAAATTAATTTGCCTCTACAGACCATGTAGTGGAAAATACAATAAGCAAAAGGCCTCTGGCAATACAGAGTAACATTTACTACAAAATGTATCAAAGAGCTGAAAAATTTGGTGACTGAAGTTAATAAAATAGAAGCAACTGCAAGAGAGAATAGAAATCCTCCACTTCATGTATGTTTGAACTATTTTTGTCTGTTCTGACTTCAGACTTTATATAACTGTGATAGTTTTTTGATCACTACATGCGAACCCTTCCACGTGCCTCCTGTGCCTCTCAGCAAAGACCCGGGCTTCCCACCTGTGACCTGATTTGTAACAGCCAAAGGTCCCACTCCTCATGTGTCCTACACGTGTGTGTGTGGACAGCTGCCCGCAGGTCCCATGCCTTGCCTCACTATACCCTGCGGTGGGCTGGAGTCTCCACACCAGTGCTGGGGTAGCCAGCTTCGGACTCATGAGCCTCCACAAGCAGATCTCCCACCGGGTTTTATAGGCACTGGTGGGATTTTATTTGGCTATCAGGATATCCTTGGCGAGCAAGTAGGGATGGCCAGGGCCCGTTTCCTTGGTTCGTCCCCAGGCTCGGCTGTGTGCTCAGTGCTGCCCAGCAGCTGAGGTGCAGAACAGCAGGAGAAGCCACAGCCCCTTCCCAGCCGCGGGCTCGGCGCAGGGCACCTGGCTGTCCCCTCCCAGGGCTCCCCAACAGCTGAGGTGTGAGACCTGTAGCTGCTGGACCAACAGAGGTTTTTTTGCTCTGAGGATGAGGACTCGTTCCGCTGCTCGCAAGCGTGGTGTTCAAAGTACGCTGTTTTCACACTTGCAGAGAAATTATTAAGCCACTGCAGCAGAGTGAGAAAGACAGAGAGTTATGCCAGGTCTTGTTCTTTGTCTCATTGAATTAACCCAAAGAAACGCCGTAAGTTCCTGAAGTAGTGTGTTCAGCATTATCGTGAAAACCTGAAATACCAGTATTCAGCCTAATCAATGAATCGTAGCTGAAGTATGTAAGAGTCATCTGAATATGTACAGAGCTGGCTATTGTTTTTCTCTTCCAAGAGCTAAACTTCCCCTCTCTCTGTTTGCATGCTTTCGAAATCACCTATCACAAGGTCTCCTGGGACTTCCTGATGCCAGATGGTTTGATTCTGATTAGCATGCAGGGTTTTATTTGTGTTTCATGTTTGTATTTCTCAGTTTTATTCCCAAGGAAATGTTTGCTACTTAAAATCAGAACTGAAAACATTGAACCATAAAAATGTTGATTTATCTGCAAGCAAAGTGTTTTTACTGCAATTTGTACATCATATTGCTAGCCAGGAGCAAATTGCATAGGAAGTTATAACAGAACTAGTGTCGTCAGATTCATCATTACTTTTTAAGTTTAAGTTCTCCAGTGAAGTCTTAGCTTTTAGGGTCTGCAGCTATAATATCAGAGCCTAGGATTCAGGGCGGTACCTAGGCCTTCAACTGAGGAGCTCATCAGACAACACAACTATTGTAACTCAGCCTTCACAGCCTTCTCTGGCTATGTTTGCCTCTAGTTTAGGGCCTATTGAAAGGTGATTCCTTGTTTGGTGTTCCTCACATTCCGTGTCTTCTAGATTTGCCACGACAGCTGATGTTAGCAGGCCTCAGCAAGAATCCATTGGACAATAAATAAAAAACAGGCTTAGAGAACTGAGATATCACCCAAAAGTGCTGTTTGTTTTACAAATATGAAGTTGCTAGAAACAGAGCACTTTGGAAGATGTAGTGCCCTGTTCTCACGAAACGCTCTCTCTTGCCGTTGCTCTAGCTATGGGATTGCTGGGTCCACCAATGTGACAGGAGATCAAGTAAAGAAGTTGGACATCCTTTCCAACGATCTGGTGATTAACATGCTCAAGTCATCCTTCAGTACGTGCGTTATTGTGTCAGAAGAAAACAAAGATGCTGTGATAGTGGAAACCGAAAAAAGGGTTAGTAGCTTTAAAGTTTCTCTGTGCTTTGTTTCAGATCAGCCTTTACAGGTGTATTGCTTCAGAGCTGAGAAACTGAAACCAAGCCAAAAATGTCAGAAAACACATACTTTTCTATATTGGCAAATGAAGTGGGGGGGAGTGTGTGGAGAGACTGTCAGTCAACATTTGTCCTTTGTGTTATTTCTGCTCTGGAGACTGATGTTTGTTTTTGTTTTTTTTTTTTTTTTTTGTTGTTCCTCCTCACCTTCTTTTTTCCCCCACCTTTTCCTGATTGTGAAGGAAACTTATTTCTTGTTTATCCCATCTGATCTCTGGAACCATGCTCTGAGTCAGTCAAGGCCTTTTGTAAAGTAGCTTTGCCGGTAGGACACTGAGGAACTGTTCTGTGCAGGCCAAATCTCGAGTGCTTCAATTCAGGCAAATTCTCCTTGAAACCCATGAAAGACTTAGCAACAATGAAACAAAAATAATTTTTACTTATTTATTATTTATTATTATTTATATTCACAAGTCTGCATGCACTTGTTGGGTGATAGATCCTTTTTCCTAGCTAATATTTTGGTGTGATTTTGTAAAAATCTGAGTGAAAATTTAGCAAAAACAAACAACTAAAACACACTTTAGAAGTAGAATAGCATTTACTTTGTCAAAGCAGATCTTTCTTTCTCTCCCTGTTGAGAAATCTTCAGAATTGATTTTATAGGCATTGGATGAACAAAGATTGCTTTAGATCTGAATAAATATGATTTTAGATCCTCAAAGATCACCAAGGGAGGCTCAGTGTTAATCCTTTTCTAAATTAAATGTGAGTTAATATGGTGTTTTTATCAGAATTCTTACCGAGAATTCTTACCTGCAGAGCACAGCACTGCCGGACTTCAGTAAGTTTCTGGCATGCAGGGTGAAATCAAATAAAAAGCAAACACTTCTTGTTGTTACACAGGTTTATTGAAATGACTGTGGGTAGAACAGGGGGAAAACAAGCTATTTAAAAGGTACAGTTGATTCAGCTGTTTTCCCTGTACTGGCAATTTCCTGTACCTACAGGAATCCTTAATACAGCAATAGGCAGTGACCATTATTTTTGGGGGGAAAAACCCTCAAGCACCAGGATAAGGCCACAGACTGTCTAAGGTAATTTCTGACAATCTGTCCATTCAGAGCACAGATGAAGTGAAATGTATAGGTTATGAATGTCAAGTGTTAAAGGCCTTTTTAATGTGTCTGATTTTAGCTCTGCATGAAAAAGGCTGATCTTCATTTGTCTTTTTCCGTATAATTCAGAAAGCTATTTTGTTAGACATGAGAAACTGTAGCCTAAGTGATAGGTATTACAGGATATCCATCAAAATGGACTGGCATTAATGAAATAGATGAACATAAACTAACCATAAAAAAAGTATTCTTTTTTTTTTAATGTTAAAAATTGTGTAGGAAAACTTCACCTTTACAGTGTCCTCATCTGTTACTTACTTTAAAAATTTCCCAGCTTCTGCTGTGGCACAAATCACACAGCTGTAATCAAGAATGAAATCTGGGCCAAAGAATTTCCAACATTTGATTTCAGTTCCTTCATAATCTACAAAAGCCTTTTAGTTTGTATTGCTTTGAAAGGCTCTGAGAAAATTTACCTACTGAAGTATTTTTATTTGGGTTGGCTAAATAATGTTGCTAATCTAGTTGTTCTCTCTTTTGTATTTTCTAGGGTAAATACATAGTCTGCGTAGACCCCCTAGATGGCTCATCGAACATTGACTGTCTTGTTTCCATTGGGACCATCTTTGCCATCTATAGAAAGGTATAATGCTTTCATGTAAGACAGGAAAAGCTATTATTGTGCATCTTTTGATGAAGTGTAATTGCATGTGAAGACTTAATAAAATCTAACTAAATTGGTTTGTGAAAGAGACTTTCAGGACCAGCTTAAGTTAAATCTGCTGTTTCACAGTCACTTGTATACAACATTTGTGAGAATTTGCATTATTCTCTTAGAAAACGCAGTAGCTATATGTACATGGAAGCCTGGCTGATATTTAATTAGTCAGCTGAAGGAATTACCCCTTACAAAAAAATTAGGTCTTAGATTTCATGAATATTTGTGTTGAGACAAAATACCACGTGGCTGTCATCTACCTGGGGAATGTGCTTTCAGGTTTTCTTGTTCTCTGTATTAATAGTCCTGCTAGCCTGAGGTCAGGCTTCAAACACAATCCAGAGCTGAAACATGGCATGTGCATTTGAGGTGTCTAATTCATTCTGAAAGGCAGAAACCTTGTCTGAAGGAGCTTGAAATACCGGACTTTCATGTCACAAGATGGGGGAAAATGTAAGTCAGATAAAACACACCTGACTGTCCATTTTAATCATTGTTTACATGTTGTCATACCTCCCAAAGTAACTATGTACAGCTTCATTTTTGTGTGAAGCAAAAGAACACAAAAAAATCCAGAGTACTTTTGATCAGCTGTGAACTCCGTGAGTCTTGTTTCATTGACTGCTTTTCAACTGTGCCTCGGAGTTTTCCTCCAAGTGTGTTCATCATCACCTCCAAGGGGGTTCACAGCTCTATATTATCTTCTTAATCCTTTCCTGCTTCCTGCATTCCAAGTAGGCTTATACAAGAACATTTCTAGATCAGTGTGTTTGTCTCCTCCATGTAATTTGTATTAGTGCATCCAGTAGGAATCTCAGCTGTGGATTGTGGAAGCATATGTGCCACCTCATGCATGGATATGGAGTAGAAGGCCGTCACTATCCCAGACAGTCCAGTTATGTACCAGCTATAGAAATGAAGTTGACTATGCTCCTTCTTATTCTAGATGTCCCCTGATGAACCTTCTGGGAAAGATGCTTTACAACCCGGACGTAATCTTGTGGCAGCTGGTTATGCTCTCTATGGGAGTGCCACAATGCTGGTACTGGCCACTTCTGCTGGAGGTGTCAACTGTTTCATGCTGGATCCGGTGAGAATGACTTCTATTTCTTTGTTTCTTTATTCGGGATAACAAGGCACTGTCTATAAGAACAGTTTGTCCCACAAAAAATCAAACAAAGGCGCAATTTTCAAGCTAACATGGAGGAATGAAGTACATTTCATAACCCATCAGCAGTAATGTCAAGAGATTTTTGCGTTCTGCCTGCCCGCTGCAGCAGCACTATATGTGATTAAACAACGGGAAGACAGCCGAGTCGGTGAAGCAAATATACAGCATGTGCCAAATCATGTGATACTTAAAATGAGCTGTTTAAGACATGTTTATCTTTTCCTTAATGCTAGCACCTTAGTAAACCAGAGAAGCAGAAATATTTAACCTTATTCTGTGTTTTCAGATCCCACCATTATGTGTAAAAGAGTAAGTGATGTGTGTGGGTGCGTTTGATGTTCTAGCATGCACTGACCATATGAGTTTTAAAATAAGTCATATTGATCATAGCAGAAAGTAGTTTGCTTTCGTGACCCTTTTGTTAGTAATCAATTATTCAGGCTGTGCCACCTGCCACTAGTAAATTTTTAGATCCCGCAGTGGTCAAGCAGCAGGAAATACAACTTGGTGCTCCCTTTTAAGTAACTGCTTAAGTAGCTGCATGTACTTTTGTCTATATTCAGATACCAGATTTAACTCTTGAGCATGCGTGCATGTGATTTTTTTTATTTTTAGCACCAACTTTTGAATTTACTTTAGTGAAAATTAAACAGACCAGCCCTTGGTTACATAGACTGGCTCACCTCACTCCAGGCTTCCAGTTAGCCCAAGCTAAGATGAACTGGAATTTATTAATATCTGCAGCTATTTGAAGATGTTTATGCATCGCTTCAACCAGCATGCTCAATTTCCAGACTCCTCAGAGCTGTACTTTTACTGTAAGTCGAGGAAAACAGTGGAAAGCTAAATAAATTTACAGGCAACAGCATTTTTTTGGCATAGATAAGTGACAGAGAGCTGGAAATGGCAATATGAAGAAGCCTGCATGACTCCAGGACTTGTGCTTGCTTTGTGTTTTATGGATAAACAAAACACTTTGCATCTAGCTGCAAGCACCACTTTTTCATAAGTACTGAAATATTAAAGAAAGTGGCAGCTATACTAAATTTTTCCAAAATTGTGTGTGTGAATGGTTTTTGCCTTGGTTTGTAAATAAACAAACAATTAATGCTAACAGATTGTTTTTCTTTCTTATTGTTAGGCGATTGGAGAATTCATTTTGGTGGATAGGGATGTGAAAATCAAAAAGAAGGGAAATATCTACAGTCTCAATGAAGGCTATGCTAAATACTTCGATCCAGCAGTCACAGAGTATCTCAAAAAGAAGAAATTCCCTGAGGTAAAAGATCCTGTTTCAAAGAAACTTTCTGATGACAGGCAATGCTCACAATTTCCAACGCTACGTTCAATCACAGTCTCATGCACTGTTCAGAGCATGTTTTCCTTTCTTGTTTATTTGAAATGTATCTTCATTTAGGACTGATAATTAGAGCAGCAGTCGATGTGACCAAATATTTCACCATCCTTCAGTACTGCACTGCACCACTTTCATATTTTTTTTCATATTTTATTTTCCTTTCTTTCTTTGTTTTTCCTTTTTTTTTTGTTTGTTTGTTTTATTTTTTTTTTTTAAATCTTCCTTCCTGGCTGGGGAACTGAGTAACAGTGCTGGAGGCAAAACCAGGTGTTTGGCAGTCAAGTAGGGAGGAAGTCTCATCTGATGATGGAGATGTTTGATGGACATACGTGTTAGATCACTGCTTCCTCACTGCGGTATCTGAGTAGACGGAGAGCTAAGGTGGGGATGACAGTGGGTCATTGCTCAGTGGTAACACAAGCTGGATCCTGAGGGGACCTCTCCCTTGAAAAGCCAGTGTAGCTGCAGGGTCCGCTTTGTGGTCGTGCAGTTTCCTAGTGTCAGGAGGCCTGAAGCTCTGAGGAATGCCCGTAAAAATCATGTCGGTTCTCATGCCTTATGCTTGTCATCACTGGAGTTACTACATCAGCAGTGAAGTGTAAACGCTTACTATTGTTACGTGTTCGTGTCCCTTCTTGACTTCCTGATCTTGCTTTGAACAAGGACTGGTGTTTTCATATGGCATCGTGCCAGGCTTAAAGTGTTGTTTATTTAGATATTAAAATGAACTCTCTGAAGTATAATAAGGAAATAATATCAGTAGTTGACTGTGTCGTAGAAGTTGGCGGAAGTGGGTAGAAGAAGTAGGAAAGATCATTTCTTTTGCTACTTGATATTTTTTTTCTGCTAGAAATTAGAAAGCCCAACATCAATTCCTAACACTTGATCTTTTTGCTATTACAGATGTAGCATTTGCCAAGGGTTAGAGGACTGATGGAGAGCTGGGATGCATTTTCTATTGTTGGCACTACCATTCATTCATCCTGAAATCTTCTGTTGGTCCTTTTCCTTGGATATTCCCAATTAGAACATAAGGAGGAAACCAAAATTTTCTCCGAAACTACTGTGAAAATTATGAGTGAATCACATTATGGAGGAGTTAGATGCTAGGGCCACTAAAGTGTGGGACGGGGGGGAGATTACCCTGAGGTCCTTGAAAGTTACTTTTATTTAACTGTCGTTCTGTAGGATGGCACTTCGCCATATGGTGGGAGGTACATAGGATCTATGGTGGCTGATGTGCATCGCACACTGGTCTATGGAGGAATCTTTCTGTACCCTGCTAACTCCAAGAGTCCCAAAGGAAAGGTAAGCCTGAATAAGCAAAATTATAGAAACTGTTACACTGTTTAGATATTTCCCTATCACAGATCAGTATTTTGACTGCAGAACATTTTTTTTATAACTTGGTAGCTTGCATCTGTGATGCGTGGGTATGGCCACCCCTTGCACACTGTCACGAGTGACAGCAACCTGTTGTCAGACACCTGTCTTAGGGCTGCTGATAACCTGTTTCAACTGTACTGTCTACTCTTTATCCCCAAACACATTCAGATTATGGAATGTACCAGGGGATGTGCTGTTCAAACAGCCTTCTCTGTACCATCTCAGTCCAAACCGTGCTGGCCTCAACCAAGTGAAACATTACAAAGCAAAGTAAACAACCCATATTACCCTGAGATTCCTATTACAGGCTAGTATGTAGAAACCTAAATGTAGTGCCCCGCTTACGAGAAGCTCTGCCAAAGAGAAGGCCATCTGCATCTTGTACTTGGTGACACTGCCTCATCTGTAGGAATGATGCCTGGCTGCCTCTGCCAGGATGACAGTCGGTCAGGGAAGATCACACGCAGGCTGACAAGGGGACTGTTTATTCACAAAGACCTTTCATCTGTTTCGTAATTGTCCATAAATTGTTGCTTCAGGTTGCAGATAAGATACAGTTATTCATTAGAGAAACCTAATGGCACTCTCAGGGCTAGTGTTTTTCTTTCTTTTCACACAGGCCTACATGGTCTGCTGCCTTGATACAGGTTGCGTCTTACATACGAGCTTTATCTCTGTGTAAAGAACACAATGCAAACATGAGCTATGGGGAAAGCACTCAAATTGGGCAAACCCAGCATTTGCTGTGGGTTTTTTTTAAGAAAAATCTACACAATTTCATAGAATCATACAATGCTTTGGGTTGGAAGGGACCTTTAGAGGTCACGTACCCCAACCCCCCTGCAGTGAGCAGGGACATCTTCAACCAGATCAGGTTGCTCAGAGCCCCGTCCAACCTGGCCCTGAATGTTTCGAGGGATGGGGCCTCTGCTACCTCGCTCGGCAATCTGTTCCAGTATTTCACCACCCTCATGGTAAAAAATTTCTTCCTTACATCTAGTCTAAATCTACCTTCTCTTGGTTTAAAGCCATTGCTCCTTGTTCTATCGCAACAAGCCCTGCTGAAAATATTTTCCCCATCTTTCCTATAGGCCGCCTTCAGCTACTGAAAGGCTGCTATAAGGTCTCCCCGCAGCCTTCTCTTCTCCAGGCTGAACAAGCCCGACTCTCTCAGCCTGTCCTCACTGGAGAGCTGCTCCAGCCCTCCTATCATAATTTTATTCTTGAGTCAAAGTTTATATGAAATACGGTGTATTTGGAGTGCGGACTGGTTTTAAATCAAATGCCAAATGTATTTACATTTCACGATTCTCGGCATCGCCTGGCCTGACCACTGCTGTTTTGATTTCTGTCTTCTAGCTGAGACTGCTCTATGAATGCAATCCTATGGCTTTCGTTATTGAGAAGGCTGGGGGGATAGCAACAACCGGGCATCATGCAATACTAGACATAGTGCCTGAGGATATCCACCAAAGAGTGCCTATTGTCTTGGGATCTCCTGATGATGTGAAGGAGTACCTTGAGATGGTCAAGAAGCATTCAACTAAGTAAAGAAAGCTTGCTGGAGTAACTGTGCAGATGGGAAGAAATGCCTTACAGCTGAATGAAAGAGCACACTGCAGTACTGCAAAACTGAACTGTCTGACCTCTGTAGCAAGAGCAAATGAGCTGTATTTTCATAGGTTTTTTTAAAAGTGAAATCTTGTGCAATTGCATTGTGCAATGAAAGGCATTAAAAGTAAAAACAAGGGAAAAATATGTTTTCTTTTTCATTTAAATTTGTGATTACACAAAAGCCACTGTGCTACAAGAAAATACTGTGTTGCACTCAGTAACTAGAGGAAGACTCAACTTTCTAATACAAGTTACAGATGATCACCAGAATATCTGACTCTGTCCTCTTGTAAAAATCCTGGGGGGAAGACTCAGCAGCCTCTTACAGTCAGTGACCTTTCCTAGATCACTCTCTAGTGGCAATAAATATAAGTGGTAGTATGGACACCTTCACACGTTGTTTCTAAGCCCTGGAAGTTACTCACTGTACTTCCGTCTGGACTTATTTTGACCAAGAATTAACATTTGTGAAAAATATATGTTAGTGTATGTTATTTCTGACATACACTGTTAATATTGCCTGTTGGCATTCTATCAGATCTAGTTACATGAGGCTGGAAAATGACATTGTGGAGGTGGATTTTTAATTGGATAAGGACCATGTGTAGGCAGCTTGGTACCATTCTCTGTGATGAGCTGGCTATCTTTGCCAGGAATTAACCTGCTTGCTTGATGAGAAAATGAATGTGTTGTTAGCAACCCCCACCAGGTATTCTTTGTGTTATTCTGGGAGTGTGCATTGCCATGGAAAAGGATTCTGCTGCGCAAGCAGAAGTAAGCTGTGAAGATCCCCACAAAGCATACTGACATTTAATATGCTGATTCAGAGCATGCTGCTGGGAACACGACATTACTGCTTGGGAGCTAGGCGGGCTCTCCACCTGTCTGGGTACAGTTTATGGCCATAGCTAACAAGGTTTTTTGATTAGTCCAAACCTGCAAATCTTTGACATTTCTCACTGCCCACTTACCTTTTCCAAACTCAAACTAAGGGACACGTGGATGTCACTGTTGGGTAGACTGCCACTGAACATTTGCTTGAGCCATGGTCTGGGAGCCTGCGTCTTTGGGTGCGATGAGCTACAGACCTGCTCGTCTGAGGATTTTGCATACTTCAGTGCAGGCAGCCTGTCTGAGCTTGGTTCTTGTATAATACCAATAGCAGAGTGTGGGGGAACCTAGAGACCATGGTGCAAAGGCATGGTCTGTGAGGGCTCACATACAAAAAAACCCGGAGGCTCTTGGTCTGACATAGGTTGTGTTTGGGACCTTTGGAGGCATGCTGGCAAACCTTAGATGGGTGTATATATGCATCTGTTCTCCAAAGTGATAGAGGACAAGGTGTTTCTGGCATGGCCTGACTGGGCTAGTTTCTGCTGAAGAGGCTATTTCTGATGAGGCTTTGTCAGTGAAGACAGGGCTTTCATGGACCTGAGTCCTTAAAGGATTGTGACAGTCCTCCAAATCTCCACTGAGCTCTCGTTCTGCTTGTGCGCTCTCTTTCCACACAGTGAGGACAGAGTCTGGTCCTGCACGGGACTGGGCTCCTCTGTAGGCCAAGCTCTGCTCTGGGAAATGAGGAGACCATGGCTTACAATCTTTGCCTGATGTGCACCTGCAAAATCAGGCACCCCACAAACAGCAACCACGCAGTATATTTTCTAATTTCTGATTAAGTCCCCTCTGTGAGAAGGCTCAAACCCACATCTCCCAGCGTGACACCCTTGTTGCCAGTGTGGAGGTCAGCCTGGAAGGAGAGGGTTCACTACCCCAACATGTGAGCACAGTGCCGTGACGTGGGAGAGGACTTCATGCGACCAGACAGTGAGTGGGACAGCTGTGTGCTGGTGGACGCCTGTGCCTCTGGGCTTTCCGTCACAGGCTGCTGCTTCTTGTGCTAGGACCAATGCTGCTTCCTCTGCCTCTTCACACGAGCAGGCCACCACTGGGATATGGCCACGCTCTTGCCTTTGTAAAAGAAAATAATGCCATCCTTGCATCTGTTTTGTCTTCTCACTTTGATTTCAAAAGAAAAGGCAAATCTCTCTCAGTTTGTGATGAGGAGTGAAGGTGCTAGGAGTGGCTGGAGATTCCTGCCTCACACCGTGGAACACTTCCCAAAGGAATTGTGGGTTCCTGTCCCGAGAATTTCCTTACTTGCCAGCTATGGCATGTACCCCATAGCACTTTAAAAGGCTCCAAGCTTACTACATCAGCTACAGCAGGCAGCATGCTGACAAGGACTCTAAACCTCTCTAGGGTTCTGGATGCTGCTCTGCGAGGAAAGTGCGTGACTGTTGTTGTCATGCATGAGTTTTTTAGATCCTTAAAAGTTTTAAATTCGACCTGTACCCAAAGCCGTAGCTGGACACTTTTTTTTTTTTAATGCATTAAACAGAGGATAGTCATAAGCCCTTGCAGCTTTATTCTGGTCTTCCATATATTAGTTTGGACTACAGTGCCTCACTCATCTATTGGCACAACTTGAGAGACAGTACCCATGGCAGCCATTTTTGTCTCGTTATAGCAATTCCTTGGCTGTATTCTGCCCTCAACCTCTTCAGCAATCCCTGGGCTGCATACATCTATTTTTAAGACACCATACTGGCAACAGGTAAAGGTTATAGAAGGAAAGGCAATACTGCCCATGTTTCCTAGGTCAGTTTCCAGTGTTCTGGTTTTGCCTGGAGGCTGACATTTTCTAGTTAGCATTTTTCACATTGTGAGCTGGATTTCTCTTTCTGTCCGTAACACGTAAGGACGTGTTTGAACGGCATTCCCATGTTGCCAGCAGTGAGGCGGGCCATTCGGCAGCTCCCTCCACAGTCCCTCTCTGAGGTGGGCATGATGGTGGGCTCGCCACAGCACCAGCCCCTGGCCCCTGGCCCCTGAACCCCGCTGCAGCCCAGGGCTGCTGCCCATGGCCCTGCCCAAGGGCTGAGCTGTGGCATTTGGCGAAAGGTCGCTGGCTCTGATTTCAGTCGGGCCATCTGAGCGACTAAAATTTCAAATCATTTAGTGGAGGTGTCACCTTTAAGGCACAGGGCTAGCCTATGTGCCAGTGGAAGTGTGAATCATCCCTGAGAGCTCTTGTGTAATCTTTATATTAGAGGGCATATCTCCCACAGATCTGCCAAACCGAGATGTTTATTGTTTTAACCTTTTTATGCTGTTCCAACCCATTTTACTGAGCGGTTCTCAGCCTTATAAAGAATCATCATATATTTTGGAAACAATCTGATTTCTCTCAAACACACCACACACCCACCCCACCCCACCCCCAGTTAAATGGCAATTATTTATATAGCTTGATCATTCAGTTTAACCATTCAGGTTTTTATCGTTCAGTGGGACCACAATATTTATCAAAAAAGGGTTAAGTTTTCATGCAACCCAGTCTTGTGCCTTTATCCAGGTTTTATTCTTTTATTTCTCTTCTTGCTCCACTGTTGGCTGCAATATTTCTGGAAAGTTTGGGCGTAGAGTCTGTGTTCTTTAAATATTACTGTAAGTTAAGTTCTTACTGAAGGAGTGTTAATTGAGCAGCAGCTCAAAGCATTGTGCGTTATACATACTAGAAAGTATCTAGTACCTATAAAAGGATTTGGTGATTTTTCAGTTAAAAAAAAAAAAAGGAAGAGGTAAATAATGGACTTATTAGCTCTGAGAACAGCCTTTGAACCACGAACTACAAAACAAAGTGTCTGTTAGAAGATGTTCTGACCTTTGTCTTTTTGACCTGTGTAAAAGATCACTTGGAATCAACAGTAAAGAAGATCTGCATGTGATGTTTTGACAAATGTTAGAAGCCATAGGCCAACTCCCACCCCTTTTCTTATTCACCAAATTGATTGGGTATCCCGACGCTATTCTATCTACACTGCAGAGAGATTTTGCGTTAAAAGCATTTTAGTACTGGTCAGGCTGTGAGAACTGCCATGATGATGAAGTAATGTGGAGAATGTAATGGCTGTACTTTAAACCAGAAGATCTGTTTGCCTGCATAATGTGAAACCTGTCCCCTTCTTTTGCTAATAGCAGCATGTGCTATCCCAGAGCTCCCTAAATAGGTTGTGTTTTGGTTTTGCATAAAGTCCGTTCAAAGAAAGAAAGTCTCCTAACCCGGCAAAAAGTGCTCTGGAATATTCATCCTGTGATGTGAATGGTATTGTATACTCTTGACTAGATTACAGTGGTAGAAAAGAGAAAAAGAAATCTTCAAGATCACTTTCTTCTTCTGCCATTGCCTTAGAAGATGTAGTGCAAAATTTGCCTGTTGCTCCACCTGAGGAGCTCTGCTTGCCAGTCCTTCCTCCTCCTTACAATGAGACTTGAAGAACATCCCCAAAGCTAGGTACATGGGAGGCAGGCAGAACAGAACTGTGTCTTTCTGCTTGTTGCTAGCGTTCAGTACTGTCAGTCTCTGTGACCTTTGCTTGAGGCTCATTTCAAAGCAGAAAACCTCAGTGTTCAAATCCTTTCACAACTCTCCAAAGTTTGTATTGTTTATAGGTGAACAGATACTTTTGGGAAAATCCAGAGAAATGCCGAGGATTACAAAAGGAATGCAAAGGGAAATAAAAACTCTTTGCCTACAGCTGCAATTCCTATCAACAAAAACAAAGCCAGGTGTGTATTTTGTTACTGGATTTTGTTTCTGTCTCCCTAGCAGATTTTAGTGCAGTAATTTGGGTTAAATGAATGATAACAATGAAACTCAATAAAACTTCTCTTCTTTAACTCCAGATTTTCATGTTTTGCTTGTCGGCTTTCCAGATCTTCTGCTTAATAAAAAAAGAGTGCTAATAAAAAGTAAAATGAAGGCTACAATGTATAATTGTTCTTACTGCCTTATGTGAGTGGGAAGACAGTGGTGTAACTAAAATCCACAAATCCAGTGCTCCAGATAACATGTACCTAGTTCACTGACATTTCTGCCTACCTTCACATTAGCATCATATGATCCAGGTATATTGCTTGTAAGGAGTCACCGGCAGTACAATTGCAAATTTGGGCATACCTATATTTACATGGTGCACTGCAATAACAAAGCCAACGCAGAATTTCATTTTGTGAGTTATGACACAGACTTGCTTAAATCGGATAAGCTTCATTTGTAAATT